GCGTAACTTACAAAATCGGTTCCTGTCAAGATGAAGATGATGCCTTTCGGATTAAAAAATGCAGCTTCTACTTTTCAGCGAGTGATGAATGATGCCTTAAGAAAATGTGTAATTTTTGCAAAGCCTATATTGATGATATTGCTATCTTTTCACCAGACTGGAATTTGCATCTCAAACATTTAGATGCTGTGCTAACTACATTAAGTGATCTCAGATTTACGGTGACCGTAAAGAAATGTGTTTTTGCACGTTCGGAGTATTTGGGACATTTAATAGGAGCTGGAAGACATCAACCCGATCCTGAAAAATTACAAGCCATCGAAGTTATAAAAAGTCATAAAACGAAGACTGCGCTAAAGAGTGCATTAGGCTTATTCAACTATTATCCTGATTACATAAAGAATTATGCAGAAATAGCTCGCCCATTGACAGAGCTTACGAAAAAGAAAATTCCTGAGATAATTCCATGGATTGATGTTGAGGAATCAGCATTTCAAGATCTGAAACGTCGACTGTGTGAAGTGCTGTGTGTGAAAACTGTACACTCCAGAACCAGAAAAACCTTACACCATACAGTGTGATGCTAGTTCATATGGTGTTGGTGCTAGCTTGTCACAAAGAGACAGCAAAGTTTGCATCCTATCAGCTTTGCCAGTCAAAAACTTTCGAAAGACTCAACAGAACTTGATCAACTATTGAACACGAGGCTTATGCCGTTGTGTGTTCATTAAAAAGTTCGAGTATTGGGTGTTTGGATCGAATAAAATCGAGCTGATCACAGACCATAATCCATTATTATTATTTGTACAAGTCGGCACCTCCATTCAGCCAAATTACAGAGATGGGCAATCGCACTTCAGCGTTATAATATTCATATTTATCATTGCCCTGGTGCACAATTAAAAACTGCAGATAGTCTTTCAAGACTAGTTGGTGAATGACATAGGTGTGAACTAAGTATGAACTAATATGTTTAAAACTTTGCATTAGTTATTTTTCTTTTGTTCCGGAATTGTACGAAAGCTACTTTCCATCTGTTTTGAAAAACAAATTACTGGTTTCCATTTAATGTTGCATTATAATACTGTGTTTTGAAATAGTATTGCATATATGTTTTATTACAGAACTCCGGTATTGTATCAAGGCGTCTGTTCATCTGTTGTGAGATGAATGTTTATTGCACTTATTACAAAGTATGTTATTACGTCATGTATACACATTCATATATTTTGAATTAATTTGGTTAAGAAAAAAATATATAATGAGATACTAGGCAAGTATTGGTATTACATTTGTTAAAAGTGTTTATATATGCCATTTAAGTGCTTAATTGTTTATTTCAATGCGAGAGGATTTAAATATTAATAAGTGTATTAATTATTAAGCACTGGTTTGTGGAGTATAGAATTTAAGTTTGTGAACTCATTTGCTGGTTCAGTTTTCAGATTCTGCTTCGCTTTGGCGTAGCACAATGTTACCGGGGGGGGGGCTGCCATGTATCTGGCTGCGTCAGCCAATCAGTTGCATGTTAGCCTCAGAAGAGGAAGAGGGTAGATTTCGCTATACTGTAGGAGCGATGTACTTGCTCCGAGTTTACTATTATTCTTTGAATGTTAATTTTAATAAATGTTTGTTTCGTCTTGTTAAATGATGCCTTATTGAACCACGAAGCCATTACAATAAACAGATAAATAGACAGATAGATAGATATAGATATAAAACATTGTCTATCTCAGTCTTTGATAATGCATTATTTCTGAAGCATTCTTTTTGAGTCCAGAAAATTTTCATCTAACGAGAAGTGCAAATAAGGAGAGATCATTAGATTCTCCCCAGTATGGTTCTTAAATGTACTCCAAAAGTTTTTATTTTACATACTGCAGGGAAAGGTTTTTTGGATAACTTGTTTCAGATTTCATAACGACTTTTCCATTGTATTTTCGCTTTCAAAACAGTAAGCTCTTCCAGTTACCAGCCTAGAAACTGGTGTTGGTTCTTTTCACAATTTCATTTGAAAAATACGTAATCGTGATCGAGCTGATTATGGACAGCTAGAATCAATGAAAGAGCGCTTAATTTTTAGTTTATCTTCATACTAATGTCAATAATTCGAATTTACCCTTTTTAATAAAAACTTATTCACCTAAGTTAGATTTTAAGTAATGTGTGTACAAGTTGCTGCAGACGCAGCTCCAGCATTTTAGGCATCCTGTGTGATCAGTATGATTGCCGTCTGTTATAAATAAAGCGCATGCATAATTCAAAGATAAATGTACCTTGATTTAGTTGTCGCTTATGACAACATCTTAACTGGCGCTCTCTGAAAGCGGTGTCCTAGGCTGTGCCTGGAGCTAATCAAAATTTGCAGCAAATACACTCTTAGACAAAAAAAAAAAAAAAAAAAAAAAAAAAAAAAACGACGCACCAAGAGGGAGTTAGTTATCCGAATGGGACGAAAATCGGTAGAAGGGATGTACATGTACAGAAAAATAATGATTACAGTTTAAGAAAAATTGGATGATTTATAAAAAGTCAGTAACGCGTTTGTCCACCTCTGGCCCTTATGCAAGCAGTTATTAGGCTTGGCATCGATTGCTAGAGGTTGCGGATGTCCTCCTGAGGGATATCGTGCCAAATTCTGTCCAACTGGCGCGTTAGATCGTTAACATCCCAAGCTGGTTGGAGGGCCCTGCCCATAATGCTCCAAACGTACTCAATAGGAGATAGATCCGGCGACCTTGCTGGCCAAGGTAATGTTCGGCAAGTACTAAGGCAAACAGGAGAAACATGTGCAGTGTGGGGGCGGGCATTATCTTGCTGAAATGTAAGCACAGGGTGGCGTGACATGAAGGGCAACACAACGGGCCTTAGAACTTCGTCGACGTGCCTCTGTGCTGTAAGGTTGCGACGGACGACAACCAGAGGGGTCCTACTATGAAATGAAATGGCACCCCAGACCATCACTCCTAGTTGTCGGCCTGTCTGCCGGAAGACAGTCAGGTTGGTATCACACCACTGTCCGCGGGCGTCTCCAGACTTCGCCTTCTCTGGTTATCGGGGACTCAGTTGAAATCGGACACTCATCACTGAAGACTATTTTACTTCCAGTCAGTGACATTCCACTGCGAATGAGCCCAACTCCACAGCAAACGGGCTTTGAACGTTGTACAGAGGGTCAATGATAATCGGCGCAAGGGGCTCCGTGACCTCAGCCCCATTTCTGAGAGCCGTCTATGAATGGCCCTTGCGGTTACTGAAGCGCTAGTTGCACGTACAATCAATGATAATGATGCATCCGGAGCTGTGAGTGCCACTCTGACGATTGCTCGGTCTTCACGTTCTGTCGTTTCTCTTAGGCTTACCGCTTCCTTCTTGACGCTGTGTGTGGCCATGGTTCACCCATTCCTGCCAACATCGCCTAATAGAGGCATCGCTCCTGCTCAAACGTCGAGCTATTCACCGATAAGAGCAACTACATGAACTCTTCTCAAATTCTGACATCTGCGCATATCATTCGCGCACCTGTATGCAAGGCATAGTTACTGTCTACCAAAGTACACGGAATGAAATTCGCGAAGAATTAATGACCCTGGAATCGTAATTTCTCCTCTTAAATAACCTGCCAGTTGCGCAGATTAGATGCGCTGTAGCGACAACCTCTTATTCACTGGCAGCCAAAATGTAAAATTTTGCATGTTCCGTCGAAACCTTTATGCATATCAATTATTGTCCAATTTGCTTTATATATTCTCGGTGCGTCGTGGTGCGACTTTTTTTTTTTTTTTTTTGGTCTAAGAGAGTAGTTTTGTCATTATTTCATGTTCTTTCAAGGCTATGCTTGTTGCTTGGGCGGTTCAAAATCTGCAAGTCCTAAATTTTGATGCTCAGTACCTCCTTAAATTCTAAAAATTTTGCCACTCCTATATTCTGCTGTTCAGTGTCTTCCCTAAATTTTAAAACTTTTGCGACTGTCTAGTCATTATGCTGTCTAGTCTCTCTCCTAAATTCTAAAAATTTTACCGTCCCTAAATTTTATTGCTTATTGCTTTTCTAAATTCTAAAAGTTTTGTCGCCTCTAAACTCTGCCGCCCTGTGCAGTCGCACAGGTTGCGCTGGCTGTGGCGATTGTTGCTTGTAATACTTCTTGACACATTCGTAGAGTTTCTGGACGTTTTCGAGAAGGCAGCTGTTGGAATGATGTTTAATTTCCTCACTATCTTTCTCTGAATATCTGAGAAAATATTTTAAAAGAATAGCAACAGAAAGTAATTTGCAGCTGTCAAATTGGACGAATAAGAAAGATGGTTGAGAAAAATCATTTATTTCTTTACTGTAAATTATCTTTCTATAAAGTATCTGACGACAGTTGCACTATGTAAAATACGTTTTACTGCTCATTGCTATTTAGTCTTTGAATGTATAAAAGCAGGTACATAAAAGCATGGAATCAAATTTAAATTCCATTTAAATTCCCTTTCGTGGGAAGGTATTTGAAAGTAAGCAAGCTAGGATGTATTAATAATTATTGCCATCAGTTATCATTTGGAGCTTTGTTGGTATCGTCGAAACAAAACGTTGTTGATGCACTGTGTATATGCCGTCATAGTGGTATTATTGTCGATAAGCATCATTTTTCTATCTTAAATGTAAAAGATTACATAGAAATTAAAATGCAAAAACATAAATTTAATTAAAACTGAATACATTAACATTTAAATTCTTAATTTTTTTAATTCTTATTTCGATAGATTTTTAATCCATGTATCTCTTTCTGCAAACAGTTTTTAATTTACAGTTTCTTCTAAATGACATATTTAATGTAAGCAGGATTTAAAACATCTTTCTATCTCTTTTCTTTCTTTTTAAAAATGTTAAGAAGTTCAATATTAATTTAGTTCCATAAGGTAATTTTATTTTAAGCAAAGAGACTTGGTAATCACTTGTTTAATTCTATCTGTTCTAAATAGGAAATCATAATTTTTTACATTTTATTTTTACAGCCAAACCAAACCCTCCGAAAAATTGCCGATCCACAAATCGCACTCAGACCTCGTTCTTAGTGACTTGCGAAGCAGGCTATGATGGTGGAGCAAATCAGCACTTCTACTTCCGAGCGAAAATCAAAGATTTCCGAGAGGATGGTATCTCTTTGAATTCCCCTGTGCCTACTTTCACGTTGACTGGTCTGCCATCTGGGATTAATTTTGAAGTAACTATAGCATCAGCGAACAAAGTTGGACAGAGCGATGTGGTCACTCTATATACTTCAACTCTTCGAGGAAAAAGAACAGGTTAAATATTTTGTATCTTTAAATGCATAGCTTCAGGGATTAAAATGCGGAAAAAGAAAAACAGGAAACAGAGTAGATAGCTTTTATAGGTGTCCCGCATCACGGAAACCGATAAATTTGACAAAAGTGAAGGCAACAAATATGCATATCGACTGGCGTTCCTAAACGGTTAATTTCCACCGCACATTGTTTATTAACTCAATCCATGAATCAATAATTGGTATCCATTTTATAGAATTACTGCGGGACACTTTCTCTTAACTAACCATTATTATAATATCTCATGACTAACCATGTTTCCTATTGCATTTTAATAATAGCTGGTATACTTATTAAAATTATAGCTGTTGGATTTTCAGTTTAGAACTCTTGTAAGAAGTGCCTTTTATTAGTTATATTCACGAAATAGGATATCCAATTCCAAGACCTTTATAGATCTACAAATTTCTTCATAACCAGGGAGAAATGTAAAACCAGAGATAATTATATAAGAATTAAATGTCAAGGAAAAATATTACCCAATAATATTAAACTTTTGATAATAGTAAGATAACATGATAATAAAAAGAAGAACTAATTACTGTCTAGGTTCACAAGACTTCTCCAAAGCTTCGAGTTTTACTTACCCCAAATTATCCTATAACACAACACAATCCAGTTTTTTCTCTCTCGAAAACATTAAAAGAGAACATTGAGGGTCGCTAAAAGGATACAAAGCTAAGAAACCTGATTGCCGTGAGTAAGCTAAATAGTTATATATATATATATATATATATATATATATATGTAAGATATAGTAAATACGATAGCTGTTTAAAAAAAAAATTATTGGCGACCTCAAATTTAACATTCTAGATTTGGTGCTGTCCCCTTAAATTCATCTGTTCTCCCAAATTCGAGATCCTTCCATGTTACGTAACGCTTGATGCAGATACCTCCTGCCCAATCAAATAATTGTAAACCAAAACGTTTTCTAACTCGAACTGAAACTATTCGACTCCCTCCCTTCTTTTGAACTGTTGCGTTCTCTTCCGCTTACGCTTTCCTGCTGGCAACACGCTACTGCTTATTTGCCTTAAATGACGTCGTACTTAAAGATGGAACTTATTGTATTCAACTATAATTAAGAAATATCTTACCTGCAAACGAATTATTTGATATGCGTAAAAAATAAAAATTCTGATTCTTCAAGCTAAGTTGTGCTAATTGCGTCATCATGCTTTTCCACTCATCCCTACGTTCAGCCACTGCGGTCTTCTCAGCCATGATGAATATTGAAAGATGCTAAAAAAGTACCGGATTTTTCCTGCTACACATTTAAAATATAACATATTCTCATTACTAGTTAGCTTTACAATTTCTATTTCAATTATATATATATATAATTATATATATGGTCGCTCTGCTTATCTCAACATTTTTCAAAGTTCCAAAAATATCTTAATTACTAATGATGCAAATAAATTACTTCGTTTTTCTTCCCTTGAGTTTAAATTTTGGGGTGACATTGAGAGTTTTGGTGTAGTGTGAAACTTGGTTGTTTATCAAAAGGAGCATACTTGCTCTACGTTAAATACAGCCTTTAACCCTTTCCAGCACGCTACCTTTTAAAGTCGAATTTTTGATTAAAAAAAAAAAAAGGTAGGCAGTCTAATTAGACCTAGAGGAGTACTCAAGTAAAATTTTGTGAAGTTACTTACTGTTTTAATACTGTAGGTGTGCCCAAAGTGGCACGAATAGAGCTTCGAAAAGAGTGCTGAAACGAGCATTGTTGTCAATGAACTGACCGATGAGATGCCGAGAAACAAAGAACACAGACTCTCCGTTGTCCTAGATTATCGTGAGTCCCGGTCTGGGCACACCTAGGGTTCGCCGTTTTTTTTTTTTTTTAAGGCAAGATTTCAAGTTAAAAATTTAAAACTAATATATGAATAAAGAGATTAGCATACAGTCAAAAATATAACATAGAACATTTCCTGTTCAAACAATTCTTTTTATACCCTAAAAAAAATGTGGAAGATTTCTTTGAAAAATGAGGGTCTTAAAAAACTAAACATGTCGAAAATATATGGACTGGTTTGTGTTGAGCTGCGATCTACTATAAATAAAGAAGGTTCAGAGTAACCTACAGTAACCTATAAATCCTTTTTCATTCAATTTTTCTGTGCGTACAGAAGGAAAGTTTTAGGTGTGTCCAGACCAGACACACTGTGCCGCAAAGGGTTAATGGCTGCTTTCCTTGAGCTTTATAAGCAGATGAACAGGATATGTCAACCTCTGACATGTGAGAAAAAAACATAACATGATGAAGATAGAAAATAGATAATGGGTGATTAACTTGACGGGTATTACAACAGGTACTTGGTTGCAGCAATTCCACTGCGACATATATAAATGCTATCCGAGATACTATACTAACATTCTTATTCCTATTCTAGTCTTTAGCTTAAGCTGCTAATTATTTTCTCGCAAAGAGTTATTTTTATAATATGATTATTTTAAAGTTATAATTAAATTGAAATTTTGTTTAATTTACGAAAGATCATCAAGCATTATTTTAAGTGCTTATAATTACCAGTTTTGAAAATATGGAACAACAATCGAGGAAAGTCGGATATTCTGCAGATTCATCCTATCTGAAACAAGAGATCAGAATATTGAAAAAAGGTGGTACTATTATAGAAAACAGACAGAAGTAAATTAGTGATTGATGACTTTTGTGTATAGTTCCACAAAACTAGCTTAAAAATGCGGAAGATAATTTATGCCATATGTCTCATAACAATTGTTAACAAAAGATGGCGATGAACAAAAAGATCAGAAAACTTTCACAGCCTCCCCTAGGCCCTGAAAGTGACCAGTGTGACCACCAACTAAGCAATATCAGAGACGTCTAGCGATTACTAAACGGTAAGAGGTAGGAAAGCTTCTAAAGGACATGCAAGAAAGCGACGTTACCGAGCATTCAGCTAGTCTATGGGCCTCTGCCATCGTCCTGGTCAGAAAGATAGGCGGTTCAACTAGATTTTTCGTTCACCGTTGCCGGATGAATGAGGTTACAAAAAAAGACAGCTACTCTTTTCCTATAATTGACGGCATTCTAGACAATCGTTTTGGAAGCAAGTAGTTTTCGACGTTTGATTTAAATAGTGGATATTGAGAGGTAGAGATACACTCTGATGTCTGACAAAAGATGGCATTTGTTACCGGATAAGAACTTTGGCAGTTCAAGGTCATGCCGTTTGGATTATTACGTAATGCGCCAGCAATGTTCGAATGCTTTATGGAGATCGTGTTGAAAGGTCTTTCATAAGGAGCCTGTCTGCTATACTTGGATGACATCATCATCGTCGAGAAAAATCAGAAGGGTGCTTCAGAAATTGCAGGCACCCAGTCTAAAATTAAGTTCTACTAAATGTAAACTATTCAGACAGGAAGTGACTTACCTTGGACATATCATCTTTGCCGAAGGTGTGTCTAAGGATCCAGAAAAAGTGTCAGCAGTTAAAGATTAGAGACGCTATTCCATCAGCTAAGAATGTCTCTCAGCTAACAAGTTTCCCGCAGCTTTGCACCTACTATAGGAGTTTGTGAAGGACTTTTTTCCCATCGCAAGACTCCCTTCATAAACTGACAGAAAGCAAGCAAAAGTACTTGTGGACCAAGTAATGTGAATATGCATTTAATAAACTGAAGGAGTTTTTAAAATCTGTTCCAATCCTCACATATCATCGAGCTTGACAAACCATTTTTTCTCGAGACGGATGCGAGCAATTAGAATGCCGATGCTGTTTTATCCCAAGAAATAAACAGCCAAGAAATATCGTAGCTTACAGGAGCAAATGCCTATCTAAACTAGAAAGAAATCACTGTTTCATCAGAAAGAGCCGTTTCGAATATGGAGTGAGTCCCAGTTACAACATAGTTACAACCGTAGAACATTCCCATAATTATCTCCGCGACAGAAAATTCTTCCTCCGCACAGATCATGCATCTTTAAATTAAATTGAAAGTATCCAGAAGTCCAAAGAGGCAGGTGGATATAGAGACTCCGGTATTGTGACATAACTATCCGTCATCAGAAATGGAAATGCTGACGCTCTATTTAGAAGACCCTACACAGAAATCCACCGGTATTTTTCCAGGGTCGAAGCGAAATACTAGCTGTTTAGTCCGGTAGCACGACAAGTTACTATTTGAACATTTGCTGATCGTGAAGTGATGAAGAAGTCACGAAAGAGAAGTTGGAAGACACCGACATTAAACCCCTAATGGATTTAATGGAACTTTCAAACAAGAAACCTACATGGCAGGACATTTCGATCTACAGTCCTACCACATAACAATATTAGGCTCACTGGGACTCACTCCATATTCGAAACGGCGTTTTGTACCGGAAGTTCGAATTTGATGATGGAAAGGCTTTCCGATGGTAGCTGAAACTTCTAAGATCCGGGTCCCGAACGTCCTTAAAGAACTACATGGCAGCCCTACAGAGCTACAGAGCCATACAGAGGGCCATATCGGAATAATGAAGACTGCATAGAGTTCGAGAACTCTTCAACTGGAGTAATGCAAGGGATGACGTCGAAAAGTAGTGCCAATCTTGCGATGTCTTTGCGATTTGGAAAAGATCGAAGAAAGACAGAGGAAGAAAGCAGCCGAGGGAATCTGCAAACGTTGCAATGTAGGAGCCCATTTCCAACCCATCACTTTGACGTTCTGGGACCTCTGCCACGAACTGCTGATGGCAACAAATGCATCCTCGTTGTCATTGACTTCTTCATCAAGTGGCCTGAAGCGTATCCTATTCCCGATCAAGAGGCTGTTAACGCTAGCAGAGATATTGATACAACACTGGATTTCCATGTTCGGAGTGACTCTTCAGTTATATTCCGAGCAAGGAAGAAATTTTGCCTCGTTTGTAATTAAAGAACTCTGCATGTTCCTGAGCATCGATGAAGTCCAAACGACACCTTTACATCGCCAATCAGCCGACT